CTTTTGTTTGGATACAGGTGCAGGTATTAATAGCAAAAATACATCTAAGGGCAATATTGCTTAGGCCTTCCTTGAAAATAATCACCTCTTTAAGGAAATTAAGCTATAGCAGAGGAATAAGATATACTTTCAGAACAACAAAAAAATCAGTGAAAACTTTTATCAAAAAAACAGTTATTTTTGTTCTCAATTGAACTGCTAACCTTTTCATGAGATAAGGGATTTCAAAAGAGCTTATTAGATAAGTATATCAATTACAAGATTAAACATGGCTTTGAAAGGAAGCTGGGTAGGTTGACAAAGTTGGAATAATTTTAAGCTTAACTCAGAAGGATATTTTGTCATCTGTTTGGGGTTGCTTCTGGCAACAGAACACTTTAATAGAATTTAGATAGCAGTAGCAGCAAATATGATAATGATTATTAATTCTTCTGATAAGAAGTTAAGGAATTTCATCAGGACTTTCAACAAGAACACTTAGAGAAGCCTCTACCCTAAACAAACACTGTTTTTTCTGTTTTATTTTGTTTTTCCTATATCTCATTTATCCTCTCCTCCTCCTATATAACTTTACTCACTTTTACAGTATATTAAAGAATGAGACACTTCTCACCTTTTGAGAAATAAGTAACATTCTGACGCTGTCAGCTTATAAAGTTGAGAGGAAAGTAGAGTGGTCAGTGGGTGGCATTTGAATTATCGGTAGAAACACCATCTCCAAACACACACTTGGACCATCAGCTGGTACAAGAAAGGTCTTATCCTTAGGAAATTCTTATAATATGCTTGAGATGATTCCATTGTTGGTTTCTAAGGGATTTCTTTACAGCTATGAAATAGTAGAGTTTTCATTAGCGATTATTTTATTGTTTTTATGCATAAACATGCCTAATAGGGACAAGGTTTCCAATGGCCCAGGATTTTAGGAAAAGGAGAAAATGAAGAAAACTTCAAAATATAGTGCATAGTAATGCATCTAGAGTAAAGATCTGATAGAAAACATATATGTCAGGGACCTTAAGAGAATTTGTTTCTTTACATAGTTAAAATTTTAGCCTCAACCTTTCTTTCATCATTTGGGGGAATTCTGACTTCTCAGTTAATCAGTTAAGTGGTCAAAATTTTAAGACATCCCACTCTTCGTAAATCAATCAAAGTTCAAGTACAACATTCTCTGTCAAGTTGCCTAGTTTTCAAGTGTTGAATCATGCTGACTAAGGGGCAGTGGTGCAGGGAGGCAGGAGAGGATTCATGCCTTCACACAGGTCATGTGAATAACAATAGTTCCATTCTAGGACTGGAGAGCTCTCCAGGTCCCTGTGTCAGAATTCCTAGCCAATAGGAGAGAGAGAAACTTAAACTGCCCCCTTTTAATTCAGTGGGAGAAAAATGTTTGGAATGTTATTTGCGTAACTGTGACCTCAATTCTTTGCAACATGCCCAGGCAGGTGAGAGAATCCACTATCAGCAGGTGGAAGTCGCAAGGGTATACATTTCACAGTTCAATTACAGAACGCTTGTTATAGGGTAATATTCTCAGATATACTAGATAAACCTACAAGGTAATAGGATTCATTAAAAAAAATGAACAAGCATAACATAATGTATGCAATCAAACAAATGTTGACTCTTTTCAGAAGTAAAATCTTTTAAGAATAGATTCAAATTTTGGAAATAGCCAAATCACAGTTTGCTTGGAGGTAGTGCAGCTAAATAATTGGGAAGCTGAGGTTTCAGTGCTCAATTCTTTTTTCCATTATAGGAACTTGTGATTTTCACAAAGACTTTTCTGGCCTGTGGTAATGTTACAGGGCAGGGAGAGAGGCAGCCCAAACCCCATTCCTGGGGACCACCCTGTTACAGTAAGGACAGATTAAAACAGATATTTGTTATTTGTCATATGGTAAAGTGTGCTTCTCTCCCAAATTGGAAACTCTGAAAAAGAATGCTATAAACTGGGCAGTCAACTTGGTAAGTCTCTAAAAGATTTAGTACATCATAATTGGATGTGCTGGTTGAGGATGCTTTGATTTAAAGAGCTGAGGTTTTGAGTCACATTTCATTAGAAAGAATTCCAAAGATTATCTGACTTTATTCCCTACTTATTCTGGGTTTTTTTCTTTTTTAAATTAAGTCTAGTACTCTAAGAAAATGTTTTGGAATTACTTTCATTAAAGTGAATTTTCTTTATTATTTGCATTTAAGAAAATAGGATTTTGTTGACAGGAAACATGAGAAAAGAAGATTTAAAAGCAATATATGATAGATTAAGACCTATGAATAAATGAATTAATTTGTTTCTAGTTTCTCTAGTGCCAGAATCACAGGATTTAGATTAATGCTGTAAAATGAGAGATTGAAACTAGGTAAAAAAGAAGTTTTTAGAGAAAACTCTAGGCCTTCTGCCCTGATGATCTATGCATCAGAAATGTGATATAGAGCAATCCATCCAGAGAGCTTTAAATTCTATACTGCCCATTTTCTGGAGGTTGATGATTTCCCCACTGGCAAGTCAAATTTCAAATAAAACTCATTGTTTATAAAGTATAAGGATTTGGTAGTCTTGATCAAAATATAAACAATAACTACCTGAGGAGAAATAAAGGAAAACCTTAGTCGTTGATACTTCAAATGACATCAAGTCAAATAGATTACCTAACATGAGCTATATGCAATAAATTGCATATTTATCTGGCACACATATGTGTGTGTGTGTGTGTGTGTACATACATATCACCTATATGAAGGAATATTTGGAAAACTTTTTCAAGAAAGTATTTCTATAGATCTGAAAAAGACTTCTTGCTCCACAATGCTGTCTTTTTCTTCTTGTTATTCAAAATATTCTGCCTTCAGAAAGCTAAGTGACTAAAATATTGGTTGTCTTCCTTATCAAAAGAAAGTAGACTATATTATAAGCCTCCCTATCTATATCAAGTCCAATAATGTTAGTTTTAGGCTCCATTTCATCCTAAAAACAAAGAGCTACCAGGAAATGCAGTGAAGAGGCAACAGGAAAGAGGGATACTGGAAAATCCTGAAATGTGGGATTTGTGGTCTGTAGAATGTGGCATTGAATCAGAAAAATTTCAGTTTCCACACAATCCGCACAGTAGAATACATACAAGCTTTGAAAGAAAAGAGTCCTTGAATTAGGGAATGGTGTTTTATCCCCAGAGTCTGCCACAAGACTTGATACATAGTAAGGTTGCCAAATTTTGCAAACAGAAACACAGCAAGTTCAGTTGAATTTTGGATTCCAGATAAATGATGAATAATTTTTATGAGTATATTACAAATATTTATCTGACAACCCTACACATAACAGGAATTCAGTTTGTGGAATGAATGTATATCATCAAGTCTCTATTGGTAGAATTTTTTTTTAAAGATTATTTATTTATACAAGAACCGGGGTACAGGCCAGATGCGCGGGAGGGTGAGAGGACTCACCAGAGATAGAGCGGGGAACAGAACAGGCAGACTGACGAAATACACTGCTGAGGGGAGCAGCAGGCGAGACAGGAAAGGTCTGTCTTGCCATGTGGGACCCTCGCCGGTGGGCCGGGATCGAACAGGTGCTGCAGAGGCTGCAGACAGCTTCACAGCACTGCGCTCATCGGCCTGCACCACCAGGGGAGGCCCTGCATCTTCTTTTTTTAAAGATTTATTTATTTATGCATGCAAGAGCTGGGATACAGGCCAGAGGTGTTGGGGTTGGGAGGATTCACCAGAGACAGAGTGGGGAACAGAACAGGCAGATTGACCAAAGTACACTGCTGAGGAGAGCAGTGGGCAAGTCAGGAGAGGTGTGCTGTGCCATATGAGTTGCTCCCTGGCCGGCTCGGGATAGAACTCGTGTGCTGCAGAGGCTGTGGACAGCTTCATAGATTGTGTATTAACCCCTTGCGACACCAGGGCGGCCTCTTTGAAGGCTTTTATGCATCAAACCCTCACAAAAAATAAGAAGACATATATGTTGGTCTCAACATAGATGTTGAGAAAGTTAACCATGTTATTGTTTAGCCAGAATGATTAGTGCTTTAAAAGTACTCAATCACTTCCCTTTCTGCCCTCCAAAATGAGAAATTTAAAGAATCCTTTTTCTTTTCACCAGTACTCATTCAATTTTTCATGGTAAGTATACAGTACAAATCCCACTGTGTATATGCATACAAAAAATCTTAGAACTGGAACAATTCTTGTTTTTTTTTTTTTGGTTGTTGGAATTCATCCAAATGTACTTTCACTCTTAAGTACCCTATTAGAAGGAAGGTAACACAGATAATAATTTTCCTTTGAAGTCCATGACTGTTCAAGATTCTTAAAGTGCTCTACATTTATTTTAACTTCTGATCACTTAAAACATGCTTCAATATGGGGAGGATTTAACCAGTCTCAAGACCTACAAAAGAGTGTTGGCCCTGATTTTCACATAATATTATATGGTTTTGTTCACTATATAAATGGGGTTTGTGGAGCCTTCCCTGATGGCGCAGTGGTTGAGTGCTGGGCTGTGAGGCTGCCCGCAGTCTCTGCAGGACCGGTTGGATCCCCGGCCACCGGCGAGGGTCCCACATGGCAAGACAGACCTCTCCTGTTTCGCCTGCTGCTCCCCTCAGCAGTGTATTTCGTCACTCTGCCTGTTCTGCTCCCTGCTCTGGCTCTGGTGAATTCTCTCACCCTCCCATACTTCTGACTGTACCCAGTGCTTGTATGAATAAAAAATAAATCTTTTTTTTTAAAAAAAAGGGGTTTGTGACTGGGATAAGTTCTTCCATGGTGTTCCTAAAGCACACATATTAAAATGTATTTTCCGAAAGCTTACATAAAATTCCGAGTGGTGTGCAAAATACTTCACAAATGCTACATACGGAGAAGAGAGCAGAGAAAGAACTCTGCTATTTAATGAATACTTTTGTATTCCAGACATTGTGCTAAATGTCTGACATCTTTGAATTTATTTAACCTTGAAAACAACTTTTTGAGTTATTTTACAGGCTATTGATTCATCCAAGGTGATATAATCTAATGAACATCAGAGACAGAATGAGAATTTTTGACAAAGACTATGCCTGCAAAGGAAGCTATGTGGAGTTTTTCTGAGTACACACTTGATAAAGGTAGTTTGCTGTTAATCTCTATCTTTTCCAGTCTATTAAAATAGAATTTCTGCTCAGGGTTGTGATTCAGAACAAGCTTTAAACCTAGTAGAGCACTCATAATCATGAGCAGGATATCCAATCACAGCTATTTTCTTAAGGAAGGTTTGTGCATTTTCTCCTGTCCACTGACAAGGATAGGCACATTCTTTGGAATTCACTCCATTACACATTCCAAACATAGCAAATCAATCATTTATTCTCAGGAAGAATGTGTTCAAAGTTCTCTTCCTCCTTTGGGTGATATGATAGAACAGTGAAAAAAACAACAACAAAAATCCTGGGTACTTAGTAGTTAAGCACAATCTGATCCAACACCCCAGATCCCAGTTGCTACAGACTTTCTAATTCTATATGCTTCATCACCTCCTGAAAGCCAAGAAGGGGAAGACTCTATTTTTCTACTGAGGGAACAAGTAGCTTTCCTCGCCTAAGTAAATATGAAATGTAGCACAAGCTAGCATAGTTTTCAAGTCTTGAACTGTGTGTTAGTACCCCCAAAAAGTTCTAATGTACACATAAGAGTTGATGGTGAAGGAAAGGGTTGGCCTTTTAAGGGAGGATGCCTGAGAAAACTTTAGATAGAATTAAACAATTAACTCCAGTTATCTCTGCAAAAAATGAGAAGGAATTTAAAGGTTAAAAAAATTAGTGGAGTTAAAAAACTCTACCCAAAGATTTTCTTTCCAGGTATGTGGCTTTTTATTTTTTGTTACCAGTAACATGGATATAACAAATGTTTAATTTGTTGCTTAATGGTAGAAAATTCATTTTTCAGTAACCTGTTCAACAACCTTTTGCTGAATGCTATTTGTGTCAGACACTGATACAGGGGTAGATCTAGAATTATAAACTTGGATGTAGCTAGTGTCACTATGAAAAAGAGGTGCCAAGATGTAAGGAAAAGATAAGGACAAATTCTAAGATAATCATTCTTTAGAGTGATTCATAAATGCCAGGCTACCCCATGTATGTTCCCACCTACCCATCATATAAACTGAATAGCAAGGCCAAAGGCTATTGAAAATTCTGTTCACTTAAAAAAATTTATATATTTTACACATCTAATAATGTGCAAAGAACCTGTGAGAAATGTGGTTTGAACAGAACAGATAATAACAGGGACTATTCAAGAGTGTGATGTCAGTCTTTTAAAATGGTGGAAGTCAAAGATCCCAGACTAGGGTTTTTGGATTTCAATTTTGCTAACCTAAAAAGATGGCTTCAGATTACAGTATTTTAAAATTTTAGCTCACTCTCAGAACTCTAATTTAATATTAACTTTTACTTAGAAATGTCTTTTGAGGAGGGCTAGCAAACACCAGGTTAGGGGGGATTGCAGTGGCCTATGATAAAGGATGGTGATTTGATGGTGGGGGTCACTTGATAAAAGACATATGAAGAGGTATGAACCCACGTCCCTAAATCATATACAGTGTTGTAAAACAGTGTCACTTCAAATTAAAAACAAAAACAAATACAAAAAAACAAAAACAAAAAAAAACCCAAAACCAAAAAATAAATAAAAACAAATGAAAAAAGCATATAAAAAAAGAAAATGTCTTTTGAAATATAATTCGAGCCAAAGAAAAACTTTCCCTCACTGGGGAAACCGTTGTTTTCCACTCCCAGTGTTCCTATTTTGACCCTTCTAGAGTTTTTTGCTGGTTTGTTTCTGAACTCAGAAGGGATGAGGGTATGATCAATTCTAACTTTAAAATCCTGGCATCTTCTAGAATTGTAGACCAGCTGTCTGTGTCAGGACAACTTGAATAAGAGAAGTTCTCTGACGTGGGGCAGAGGTAATGAAAGTGTATAAAAATAAAACTACCTGGTTCATTAACAGGACACCATGATTTACACAACTAAAAGGAGAGGTTCTTCCCTCAGCAGTAAAGATGTTTTCTAGGTTATCCGGGAAAAAGGCTGACCTAAAAATGCTAAATAAATGGATTCAAGTGGAACACTCTGTTGCCCCAACTATATTTTCAATTGATAAAAAGGTTTTCAGTTTTAATTCTAGTGTCTGTCTTCTGAAGATATATAGAGTCTAAACAGTACAGGCTTCAACTCTGAATTTAAAGAAAACGAACTTTTAGCCAAACAGCTGGTAAACAGGTTTCCTTGACATCCTTTGCAGAATCTCCTAAACCTGCTCAACAAGTACATTCTTTTTTTTTTTTAAAGATTTATTTATTTATTTATTTTTATTTATTTATACAAGCACTGGGTACAGTCCGAAGCGCGGGAGGGTGAGAGAATTCACCAGAGCCAGAGCAGGGAGCAGAGCAGGCAGAAGGACCGAAGTACACTGCTGAGGGGAGCAGCGGGCGGCAGGAGAGGTCTGCGCGCCATGTGGGACCCTCCTCTGGTGGCCGGGGAGCAGCCGGGGATCGAACCGGTGCTTCAGAGGCTGCGGGCAGCTTCACAACCCAGCGCTCAACCGCTGCGCCACCGGGGAGGCCCTCAACAAGTACATTCTAAGGGACCCTTTGTGAAGGGACTTTGAAAGATCATTTGTCTCAACTGCCTTGACACCCCATGAATGCATTCAAATATCTCATTGTCTTTTCAAAGATTCCCTTTGATCTTTCCTTTCTTAGCTAGTCCAACCTCTTACCACTATTTTTTTCTGTGGGTGTAAGGATCATTTTCCTTGCTCCTACATTATTATGCAAATCTGAGATTCATAAGATGAAAACCACAGTGCTAGACTTGCTATTATGAGTTCACTTGTCATAAAACAACTATTTAATTGAAAACAAGACACCTAATATCTTTTAAAGATTCTGAGAAAAGAAGCATTTCCATTGTTACTCACTTTCCCTGAACAGTCCTTTCCAAGTTTTAAGTCTTGTTTTCTAAACCAGATTATCCTACTAAGCCTGGGAACCAACTATCCCAGGTTAAGATTTTGATTCCATGTTTCTCTCTTTTCCTTCTTAGTGCATTTCTCTCATTGTCTTCTTCATTTCCCATAACATCTAATACCCATATAACACAGAGCGCTCACCATGTTCCCTAATGGCTTCATATGCGTGCATATGGTTCATATCTCAAAACAGTCTTTAATTTCATGTAGCTGTGCAGTCAGCTGCTGATTTCTACTGCTTCTAGAAACCTTGCCAGACCATCTGCAGACCCTCTAATTATACTTTCTGACCAGAGGGCAAATGGCAGGAATTAAATATGTTATGATTGTATTTGACAAAATTTCAGAATTCCAATGCTCCACCTCAGAAACAATACCAGCTGGCCTTTAGTAGGATATAGAGGCTAATAAGACTCTCTCTTCAATTGCAGCAGTGCTTCTCTGAGTCAGAAAGTACTGTTGACACTTAATAATAGCAGAACTCAGACCTTACACAAATATCAATCATCATCTGATCAGAGTAATAGGGCTGGGTGTGAGTGACAATAACAAAACTTTTCTGAGGCTGTACCTACAGAAAAGTTCAGGAGGAATTATTGTGACTGATTTGGGGAAGCACAGAAAAATATATGATAAAGCTTTAATTGCAGCTTTCAGGATCCTCCACTAATAGAAAATACTGACAAGACTATGAAGGTGACAATTTAATTTAGCTCATCCATTCTATAGAGTGATCTGGGTGTGAAGATGTACAGGATTCTGTGAAACCCTATACACTAGTGATAGTTCAACTGGAAAATGGTTTTCCCTTTCTCCTCAGTAGTCCACCCCAACATGGCCTGATTTATGTATGATCACACATTAAGCCACACTCAAGAGTAATTCATTCCTGTCCATCTAACTTTTAGTTATCACATATTACGTCATCATTTGAAATCCTGCACAGTCTCCCATATAAAGGCATGTTTCTGGGGTAAGGCTGCATGTACAGGACACACACATTTTTGTTTTTACTTTGTTTTGTTGCATGAGAGCCTGAAGACTTTTCATTAGTTGAAAGGGAACTTTATGCTTTATTTTGTCAGTAGAATGTCAGATGATGTGGATGTGGCAATAAGTTTGAAAGGAAAGAAGGGAAAATGGACTTGGAATGTGTCCCTTGCTATATGGTGAGGGAAATGATGTTATTTAGAAAAACTGAGCTCAAATTCCAGAGATTTGTAATTAAATGTAGAGATGTGTTGTTGGGCTAACTTTCCTTTTTGTTTTTAATATCAACTTTATTGAGTTATCATTTATTATATATTGCATTATAAGTGTACAACTTAGTGTACAGGCTTATGAAACCATTGCCATATAAAGAGAGAAACTATTTATATCACCCTCCAAAATTTTTTCTTGCCCCTTTCTATCCATCCTCTCTTTATCCTTAAGCCCTGCCAACACAGAACTGCTTTTTTTGCATTATCTAGATTTTTATATAAATGGATCATACTCTGATGGCTGTCATCTCACAACCACCAGAATGATTTTGACATTAATTTTTTTGTTGTGTATATTAGTAGTTTGTTTCTTTTTTTGAATAATATTCCATTGTATGGATGTGACATATTTGGTTTCTCTATCACCTTCTGAACATCTGGGTCATTTCAATTTTGGTTATTGTGTATATATATAGCTACTGTGGATTACTTCCAATTTTGGGTTATTGTGCATAAAACTGCTATACATAGGGCCTCCCCTGGTGGTGCAGCAGTTGAGCGCTGGGCTGCGAGGCTGCCCACAGCCTCTGCAGCGCCGGTTCGTTCCCCTGCTGCCGGCGAGGGTCCCACAAAATAAAATAAAAACTGCTATACATATTTGTGTACAAGTCTTTATGTGGACATTGTTTTCACTTCTTATGTGCAAATACTTGGGAGGGAGTGGAATGTCTGGGTCATATGTTTACACTTTTAAGAAGTTACAAAAGTTTTTTCAAAGTGATTGAATCACATTACATGGTGGGAATGAGAGATACATGAGATTTTCAGTTGCTCAATATTCTCACCAACATTTGGTAATATCCATCTTTTGAATTACAGTCACTCTACTGGACACATGGTGGTAGCTCACTATAGTTTTAATTTTCATTTCCCCAATGACTAACATGGTTTACATCTTTTCACACTATTTGTATATTGTCACAGTTCATCAACATGAAAGGAAGCAGAATATTCTGGACGAAGGGAGCAATCATGTGGAAGATTGAGAGTGAAAAAGAAAATTTAAATTGCTCAATGTGGCCAGGAAATAAAATGTGAGACAAGAATGATGAGGAATGAGGGCAGAGAATGAAATAGATGACAACTCGAGATTATTATGCTCCATTAAGGCTTCATCTCAAGAGAACCACCAAAGATACATAATCAGCAGATGGTAGGATCAGATTTTTAATTTGAAAGAACATTCTGGTCTTTGTGAAAAGTGATTAAAAGAACAACCATTTGGGAAATAATTGCTGAATTCTAGGTGAGTGATGATTGAGGTCTGAACTAAGGTAAAGAGTATGGGATGGGGAAAAGTGGGTAGATCTGAGAGAAAATAAAAGTAAAATTAGTAGAATGTAGAGATTGATTAAATTTGGAACCAGTTGAAAAAGAATTGATATTTTGGGTTTGGGAAATGGTGGCTATTTCCCTTGAACCCAGGAGAAGGATTCATCTTGGAAGAATCTCTGGTGAGTGTTATCCCACAAATATACTAAAAATTTAAAGTCATCACATTTATTTCACTAAATTTTTAGTACCTCCTGGAACCAATTTGTCACATCTCTTTATAATACCATCATTTTCTGAGTCAGGAAGGCTGCAAAACTCATGTTCATCATTGGTTCCTCTTCTCTTCAGTCCTGCTCCTACTTTCAGTTAGTCATCAAGGCCTATTAATCATTTCTTAACCAATGTCTCTTGAGTCTGCACTGTCTTTCCATTCCCAGTGTCATAACTCTAGTCTAAACCCTTATCACTACATGCTTGAAGTATTTCCCAGCCAGAATAGTTTCTTAGCTTGTCTCTCTATCACCAATGCTCCCCCATGCAACCCATCTGGCACCCCTGAGCAGAATGCTTTTCTTTAAACACTGCTTTCATCACCTCTCCCAGCTCAAATGTGTTCACTGCACTCTTCTCCAGCCAGATGAGTTACCATCTTCCCTGCATGTCATATGCATTTCTATCTAAGAAACCTTCGCTTGGAATGTAACTTTCTCCTAACATTTTCCTGTGCCTCCCTAAACAGTCTTCATACTGATGGGTTCAGTTACAGTCCCTGCCTGCATGAGTCTTTTGTGACCATCCACAGCAGTCTCTCCAGTGCCTGAAAGTCTCTGGTGCGTAATACCAGTTTTGTTCACTCTTTTTGTGTTCTCTGTATAAGTCTTGTCTCCCTATCTGAGTAGTGGGCTTCTTAAAGCTGAGACAACAGATTTATTTTCTGGTCTATGGTGCACATGCCATAGAGAAACAGATTCCCCTTAGCTCACAAGTTATCTATTATTTCTAGCTTCCACTTGCCCTTGCTGTTCAAGACAGGTTATGATAGTTTCCCGAATATTGGATATCTTTGCTGGCCCAGCTTCCTACCCAGCAGTGAACTGTTCCTTCAACAGCAGTGAACTGCATTGGGCACCACGATCACCCTGGTTCACATACACACACTTAGTCATTGTTCCTCAAGCATATCGCTAGCTCTAGAACACAAATCTGGAGAGTCTTTTACATTAGCTAGACCCATTGCAAAAACCAGTTATCCTTCAGAAACCTCAAGGAAACCCTGCTTTCAGCTTTTGTCACCAACCCAGGTACTTCTGTCTGCTTGGCTAACTCCCCTTTGGAAGGCACACAGTCCTTAGTACAGTTCCATCCAAGGTTTCAGTTAAGTTCTATATGATTCTGGCAACAGTTAGTTTCCTATTATTTTCCCCTCTCCACAGCAGGGGGTACCTATTTACCCTACATTTACAAAGCTAATAATGTGAACATATAGGTTGGGCATGGACAGTGAATCATGCAAGTGACCCTAAGGAGACCACAAGTGATTCATGCCAAGTTAACCTTTGGTTACCACCTTCTACAAAGGGGTGGCTTATTTCATTTTTAGGTGCCTGTGCCAAAAATTAGTTATACTTTGTCTCCCCTTCAACTCCAAATTCATTCTCTGCCATTCTGTTCTCTGTCCTGCTCTGTGCCTCTGGAGCCTGCATCCTATACACCACCACCAGGGCATCCACACCCAGGTTTATGCTCAAGTATGGCATCTACAGGAGACAGAAGTCTGAGCAAAGGGAAGGGCCACGTGCTCATTCCCTGCTCCATTTCTACCTCAGAGCAGTTCTGGTGGTGTTGCAATCATCTGTGGCAAAGTGGCCTGTGCCCACTTCCACTGTTCTAACTCTTCAGGGTCTGGTGACGCTGCTTCCTCCCTGTGTCCTTTCAGGCTCAGGCAAAGTGCCTTGTTCTGTCGCTGATAGGCCCTTAGTACCTCAACAACCCTTGATGTTTCCCTAAATGCTGTTTTTTCCATTAAACCCTTTTTTACTTAAACTCTTTTTTAATGTCCCATCTGTCTGCCTCCTGGAGCCTAATTGATACAATACCCTCAAAAGAGCATCCAGATTAATCTTTGCCTTATTGGGGAGAGATTTGGGTACATTTGTCTCTCCTCTGGCACCGATCCTGGTGACTGGCCACTACAAAATCAATTGTTACCCTAGATATCTAAAGATACTAATGAACTAGACTCAGTTGTTCTGTACGAATCCAGGATTACTTTGGACAAACCAGACTGCTGGACGTGCCCTTTGTTAGTGCTATTATTCTGGTTACTGCACAGTGGGTTCTGGACCCTTCCCCACTGACTTCCTAATAAATAGTGAAAGACTGAGGCTATGTTATCTTGTTCACTAACAGGGGTGGCACATTGAATCAACTCAAGAGTCTTTATAAAAACCCAGAAAAATCTCTGCCTTCCTCCAACTCTAAATTTTAAGACACCATGACTAATTTTATTCTTTCTGAATGTCGTTCATTTGCCACTGTCCTAGAGGATGACTCTGACAGGAGTTATTCCAAGAGAGCTATTGCTTCAACACTGCTACCTCCAGGGTAATGTGGAGATCATTTGTTTGCAGTCCTCTTGCTGTTCAACGAGGATAATGTTTACGCTCAGGAGTAGAAGAACCACTAGTCCTCTACTATCATCAAAGAGAAATTCTAACCAGATGCCTTAGATGAGTTTGCTGTTTTGCTGCTGATGGGAGACCTCAGTGATTCTTACTTTAATTATCTTTTCTCCATACATCATGTTCCTGAAAGAAATTTCCAAATTAGTTTAGCTGGGTATTTTCTCTGCTAATGTTAGAATCAGTGTTGCTTGCTTTGCTTCTTTATGGCTCTTCCCAATGGGAAAAAAAGGGAAAGAAAAGATCCCTCAGGATATAGTGTAATTGTCTCTTGGGGAAGGAGGTTTTTTTTTTTTTTTTTTTTTTTCATTTAAACATAAAATTGTGGGTCCAGAAAGGCTAACACATGCATATTTAAAGCAAGCGTTTCCAAAGCAGAAGTCCCTCACCAGTCCTGTCACACATGCATAAAACAAATTATCCAATGGGAGCAGTACATAAATCACTCAACAGAGAGTGCCAAAAATTTCCAATGCATTCCTTCCAGAATCTAAAACCCAAACATGTTAGAGCTCCAAGCTCTTACCTAAAAATTCTGAAGGGAAAATGAACTGTGAATAACTATGGAGAAAGTGTAAGCAATTCATCCACCTGATGGGACCACCTGCTAATCAACGTTCACACAATATTTGGTATCCAGCTATGAATCAAAATTCTTGAGCTAAGTTTATGGCTTAAAAAGCCAAAGACTCCTGTCATCATGATCACTGTTCTTTACCAGTGACTGAACCAGAACCTGCGTGAGTTGCTATGCTTCTTACATGATGTTGATCTACTTGGGTTGTTTCTGATGTTGGGAAAGAGCATGAGCTGGTCTCAGCACTAAGGTTAATGAGCAATGCAGTAAATCAGTCACAGAAATGAAGGGTCCTGTGGGTGAGGGGGGAGGGGTTCATTTCTTAACCCACTGCATGTCCACAGAGCGAAGAACTCCACTTTTGTTAGAAATATCTCTAAAAAGGGACTTTCATACCTTTTTAAAAAGCAAATGGATTCTTGTATAAGAGTGGGCATTTTGTGCAAAATTTTTCTAAAGAGCATTTATCAAAGTAGACAGGAAATGCACAATTCTTATAACTAAATGTCTGACCTCCTAGGAGTAGAAAGTGGGGTTACACATGAGGTTCTCCAAAAATTGGAAAAACAGAAAGGGATTCAACTATAACATTGACGCCCTGAGATAGATTAGGTCTGCACAAAGTTTTGCACTAGGCTACAGAATTTGATTCCATGTATTAAGGTATTAGTTGAGAGGGCTGCTCTAATAAAGAAGCACAAACTGGAGGGCTTAAAATAACACACACTTACTTTTCTCATGGGCCTGAGGCTGGAAGTATGAAGTCAGGATGACAGCAAGGCCATGTTCTCTCTGAAACATGTAGGGGATCCTTCCTTGGCCCTTCCTGGCTCCTGGTGTTTGCCGGCCATCTTGGCACTCAATGACTTGTTGGCGCATCAGCACAATTTCTGCCTGGATTGTCACATGACATTCCCCCAGGGTCTCTTTCTTCATGTGGCTGTTTTATTATAAGGAGAACAGAATGACAGTATCTTAACTAATTACATCTACAAAAATTCTATTTTGAAATAAGATTACATTCTGAGCTACTGGCAGTTAAGGCTTCAGTATATATCTTCTTTGTCGGAGGACACACAATGCAACATATAACAATGTGCACACTGATCTATGGTAGGGATAAGATTTTAAAATTATGAACTTTCTTCTCCTTTGTTACTTCTCTCCTTACTCTCTCCCTCCTTTATTATTATTTTTAAAGATTTATTTATTTATGTACACAAGAGCTGGGGTGCAGGTCAGAGATGGCGGGGGGTGAGAAGATTCACCAGAGACAGAACGGGCAACAGAACAGGCAGACTGACTGAAACACACTGCTGAGGGGAGCAGCGGACGAGACAAGAGAGGTCTGCTGTGCCATGCAGGTAGTTCCCTGGCCGGTAGGGATTGCAGTCTATAACCCCTTGCCACCAGGGAGGCCCTTCTCCTCCCTCTTTTCTTTCCTTTTTTTTTTT